CTTGAACAAATAAGGTACTCAAGAAACATTTGTAGAATGAAGTCTTTTTTAAAAAATGAGTGAACGATAAGCTGAAGGCAGCTTTTCAAGGAGTCTTGTTCATTAACCTCCCCAGGTTCTAGCACAGGACCAGTGCACGGCAGCTGCCAAACAAATCTTGAAGACGGGAAGAGAGAAAGGAAGGGAGGGAAGGAGATAAGCCCAGATCAGGACTGCCCGGCATCGTCCTTCCTTTCTGGATCCAACTGAGCAACGGCCGCGGCAGTGAGAGAAACGGCTGGATCTCAAACAGCCTCCACAATGTCAGAAGGGCCTTCACAATAGAACTTGAATTCTGTTTTCCTAAAACACATGTCTTTTTCTTTTACATGCAGAAATCATAAGGCTTCCTAAACCTTCCAAGTATGTCAGAAATGCAGAGTTGAGAGGTCAGCCTGCTGCGTTCAGCTCCAAGGACACGTTTCCCGTCCATGTGCTGCCTGCATTCCTGACCCCTGCCCTGCGGCCAAGGGACATCAGCTGGGCTCAGGGAAATTCCATTTGGGCTGACAGCGGCAGCAGGATAATGACAGGGCGTCTGCCTTGACATTTGGAAGAGCAACGAGAGCGAGAGGAAGCCACAGAGCTTTCTCACGGGCCTGGCTTAGGAAGGTCTGACATCTAGGTCAGTTTGTTTCTCTGTATGGAGAAAACCCTGAAAGTAAGGGCAACCGATTGCTACTGCTGGCTTGGAGCTCAATTCTGCTTCTACTCGCTGTGCCCTCTCTGCCTTCCTGGTAGAAAAAAAAAAAAAAAAAAAAAAAAAAAAAAAAAAAAAAAAAAAAAAAAAAAAAAAACAACTTGTGCTTTACTCCTGGACTTGAGCTTTCCCAGGGACGAGAACTGCATGTTGTGGGTGGTGGTTTTATTCATCCATTCATTCGCACGTTCACTTCAATAAGCATTTCCCAATAAATGTGGGAAGTCTCAACTCCTGGGGTTCCCTTTCTCTTCTTTTGAACTCGCAGGCCTCAGACCTTGTCTGCTCCACGGAATACTACGTAGGTTCACTGGTGACAGTGACAAATGAGAAAAGAAAAGCTGACCTCTGGTCAGCAGGGGACAGAGGGAACCCACTTTCTAGCTTGTGATGTAGCCGCCCTGGGGTCAGCTTAACCACCGATGTGGGACGGCCCCCATCAAAGACGTCTGCTGAGACGGACATCTGTATTATTTCAGCAGATGTGGCCTCGGTGGCTAGATGACTCTGTAGCCCCCTGCCGGGGCCCCAGGACACCCCCACGCTGAACCTAACGTGGTGACTGTCAGTCTGTAGGGTATTTGCCTCTTTCCTTTAGACAGAAAGCCCTGTGAGGGGAGGCAGGGCTGTAGCTGCTACATGCACCTCAGCGTCCCAAGTACTAAGCATCCTAGCCCAGCTCCTGGTGCAGAAGTAACGATCAGTTGGTCAGCCCGTGTTAGATGAATAAATGAATGAACTTACAGATCAGTGCATGGATAAAGGTTCTGGGCACAGGCTTTACAGTCAGACAGGTGCAGGGACCACTAATCACGTTCAGTCACTTGCTGACTGCATGACAGGTTTATGCTGAAGCAACAGCTGGGCACATAAAATATCTATGTCCTAAGTGTACCATTCACGGAATTTTCACACTCACAAAACCAGCACCAAGTCAGGAAACAGAACATCAACAGAACCGCAGAAGCCCACCTCCAGTCACTGTCCTCCCACTCACCCAAGGGAGAAACCACACCTGACAGGTTACCTACCCTCTCTGATGCCTACCTTCACACTGGGGGAAATAACACTTACCATGCTGAGTATATGGTTTAAAAACAATAGTGGTATATAAAAATAGTAGTTGTGGCAATAGTAATAGCAGCAGTAGCAAAAATATAGATGGAATCATTAAGGCGCTAAATTCCCACAGGGTTGACCATGGTTTGAGTTCCAGACCCAGTGGCTTGAAAACCATTTTTGGGTATGCATGTGTGCATGCCCTAAATCTCAAGAGAGTGGAGGAGAAAGGATTGTGGCATATTCATCCTCTTTGGTGGGTGATTTCTTAAACCACAGAGTGCTCAAAACAGGCTTATATGGTTATATAAAATGGGACTTTAGAGATGAGAAATCTGAGGCACAAAGAGGCTAACTATCTCTTCCAAGATCACATACCAACGGACCCACAGATCCAGGCCAAATCCCAGCAGTCTGGCTACTGAGCCACCTTCTCAGTAGCAATCATTCAGTAAACTACTGCGTGGCAGAGTAAGATCTGTTCTCTGGTAGCTGTGCTCTTCTTCTATATCAATGACTTGGTAAGCACATGGTCTGGCAGAATAGAGATTACCTTTCCTAGCCTTTGCTGCAGGTAAGTGTAGGCAGAGGACTAAATTCTGGCCAAAGAAATCTAAGTAGAGAGGCCAGCAGGAGGTTTAATGTTTAAGGTGCTGGACTCCCACACGGTTGACCACAGTACTAGTTCCAGACCTGGCAGCTTGAAACTCACTCCAGGCATGTATGTGAAAAATCCTGAGAGGAGAAAGGAGAAGAAAGGATAGCGGTGTGGCCAACACCCCACGGTGGAGGGGTGATTTCTCACTTTCTGTCTCTGTTGAATGCATGTGCTCTATAGCAAAAATCTCCCCCACACCAAAAAAAAAGAAAAAAAGAAAAAGAAAAAAAAAAATAAAGGAAAGAAAAGAAATTTAAGCAGAAGAAGCAGGTGTGACTAACTTCCAGGAAGCATTAAAGGGACAGGGCCTACTTTTCTTATTATTCTTTCGCTCTTTTGATGTGATGGCTGGAGCAGAAGCAGCTAGAATGGGACCATGAGGTGAGTGTGGGAATGGAGGATCACATTGTAGACAAAGAAGAGAGGGAAAAAAAAAATAGCCTGGTCTTTTATAGACTGCAGAAGCAATTCTGCAACACTTGTGTCTGAACTTTTAGATTAGAGAAAAAAAAATACTGTCTATATTTTAAGGCAATATTCTCTAAGATTTTGTCATTCATAGTAAAATCTAATTCTAAGAATGCACTGAGTTCTTGCAATTATAATTACTCTCACCTAAAATGACTTTCAAAACAAAACAAAACATGACTTCAAGTAATCCTATAATTGACAAATTATGAAAATAAGCTGTGGTAACAGTTCTTTGTCACCTCATGTCATGGTGACATCTGGAGTTGTTCAGGTTGGACTCCCTGCCTCCAGCCTCTCATCTCTCCCACCCATTCAGGACACTTCTGTTTGTCAAATCATCCTTTAAAATTATTTTCATCCTAAATACAGAAATAACTGCAATGCTCTATGAGCCTACCTTATGCAAGACACTCTACACCTTTTTCCCTAACCTTCACAGAAAACATGAAACATAAATAATTATTACCTCTCCCTCATCGCTAAGAAACAGAGGTCAGTGTCTGTCTGAGGTAACAGAAGTGGATGCCTGGGCCAGGATCCAGCCACTCCCTCCAGTAACCACACAGTTTCCCCCACAGCAAGCTGACTTCTTGGAAATATCAGCCACAACAGGTCACCCTCTATAAAGGCAACCTGAGTCTTTTTGTTTTGTTTGTTTGCTATAGTGTGTGTGTACTCACCATGGAGAGAGAGGGAGAGAGAGAGAGAGAGAGAACCCCTCATGGGGATGGGCACGCCACAGTCCCCCCTCCTCTACTCTTCTCTTAGGATTCTGGGCATGCATGCACATGCACCTGGTACGTTTTGCAAATTGCTAGGTCTAGGGTTCAAACTGTGCAGTTGGCATGTGGGATTAAGTTGCCCTGCCCACGCCACCTGGCCGGCCCTCACTCTGAAAATTTTAAGATTTTTGAACTCCGTGAGTTTTCTCTATCTAGTTTTTCAGGGGCCTTCCTGCCCAATCTAACATAAACACCACCCAGTAAGGTCAGACTTCTTTCCTTCCTTCCTTTCCCTCTTTCTCACTCTCTCTTTTTATTTGTTTAGGTTTGCTATAGGGCGCATGCACTCATAAGACAGAGAACAAGAGAAAGAGAGAAATCTCCCCCCAGGGGAGATGGCCACAATCCCTTCTCCTCTAGTCTCCTCTTGGAACTTTGGGCACACATGTACAAGCTGCGGGTTCCGGGACGCCAACTGTGAAGTCGGCCATGTGGGATCCTGCTGTGTTAACCTCCACGCCACCTGCTGGCCCAAGAGGTCAGATTCCATAGACTCTCCATCACATATTCCCAGGTACAAAATGCGGTACAAAATGCGGGAAATCACACCTCTGCCAGGAGATGACATGGCGAAAAGGAGAAAGGCAGGGGGTCTCGGGTCAGGGAGAAATGACTTCCAGTCTAGGGAAAAGTTCTTCATCTGTGAAATGAATGCAGTATTCCTTCCTGGCAGGGCTGCTGGGCAGACCATCTAAAATAATGTTTTTAAAGAACCTAATACAGGGACCAGCAGTTAGTGTAATGGCTATGTCGCTGGACTCCCATGTAGTTGACCGCAGTTCAAGTCTCAGACCCGGTGGCTGAAACTCATGCCGGGCATGTGTGCGTGCATGCCCAAAATCCTGAGAGGAGAATGGAGGAGAAGGGATTACGGTGTGGCCATCCCCCCTGGGGGGTGATTTCTCGTTTTCTGTCTCTCTATCTCTGTCTTTCTGGTGAACACACGCGCCCTATAGCAAAAACCTCAAACAAACAAGCAAAAACCTAATACAGAGTGGGCCCCTGCAGCACCTGTTATGTTGGTGGTGGTGTGGTTGTGGCTATTCCTGAATTCTTCCCAGGACCCCATCCCGCCAACTTGCTTTCTAAATGAAGGCATCAGATAGTGTGACAGAAAACACTTGAAAAGTCTACAGTTCTAAAAGGCCAGAGGTCTAACCTCCACTAATCAGGTCGATGCCGGATTCTCGTGCTTACATCTGATCAAATTTTACATTTCGGTCTCCACAAAGAATCCCTCCACCTTTCCCAGGGTGGGTTTTCTGGACAGGATGGGCTTCTGACCACTCACCGATTCCATAGTGAATCTCTTGACGAAAAACTGGAGAGCCTGGAGGCCGAAGATCTCATGTCTCAGCCGTCACATCAGAAAACAACCTGGATGGGGGCAGGAAAAAAAGTGACAAGGGTCACCCAGTGGGACTGGGCAGCAGGCATCGTCACAGAGAATGTGGTTGCATGTGGAGGTGGAATCCTTGTTAGGAATGTTCTTGCACTACCGAATGGCTGTCCATGGAAGAAAACCACCCAGAAGCCACTATTCCAGCTGTCTGCTTTGGGGCAGGTCTCCACAGTCGGATCGCTGTGTAAGTGCATGCTCAGGAATCCTCCTTGCTTTCTATTTCTAGCTCTGTGTTGGAGAACAATTTACAAGTCATTAGCTTCTCCAGACCCAGGCTCCTAAACATGAAATTAAAGTGTGCCAACAGGGACAACAGAAAGACAGACAGACACCTGCAGCTCTGAGTCCACAGGAAGGCGGAGGTGTTCCTCCAGAGTAGGAAACCAGCCTGAGGAAGGAGGTGGGTATAGATGAATATACATGTTTCAGCCCCTCTGAAGCTGGCAGAGGATTTTAATTAATTCATGCATATCAAAGCTTAATTAATTACTGAGTGCAAGGAGCTCAGGAAGTCTGAGATGAAAGGCGTTACATAAGGGAACAGCTTCAATATTTGTGGGATGGAGGGGAAACAGAGCTGGGGTGTGAAAATAAGATGAGCTGAGGGGTCTGCTTGGTCCTTCTCCAGTGGCCCCTGGCTAAGAGTGGCTCCTCCATCCGGGGCCAGCAACCCCACCACCTCCCTCTCCCCATATCCTGTCCATCCTCAAGTCAGGTCCACTTTCCTCCTAAAGATCTCTCAAGCTCTCCCTCTCTCCATGCCCACTGATGGCCCTGGGCACGCCCCGTCACTCTCTGCCAGGCCACGACGGCTGCCCCACTGGCCTTCCCTCATCACCCTGTCTTCCTGAGGTCAGGTCTCCCGTGCCAAACAGAATGGCCTTTTCTTTTGTTAACCCTGTATTTTGAGAATTTCATACAAACACAAAAACAGAAGAATATCATAAACCCCATGTGTGTGTCACCCAAACTAAGTCACAATCAAATGACAATCAATTCTATCTTATCCATACCCTCATCTGTCCTCTCCCTGCATCATTATTTTGAAGAAAATTCCAAAGACGTCATTTTAGTCGTAAAAAATATGGCATCTCTCTTTAAGATAAGAGCTTTCACAAAACTAACTGCAATCCCAATAACACACCTACAAAAGGTAATAATCCCCTGATACCAAGTACCCACACGAAGTTCAAATTCCTGCTAGTCTAATAATTGTCAGAAATTGTTTTTAATGATTGTTCTCAAACACCCAGATGCAAATAAAACCCACACCATACAATATATAAAAATACAGTGGATTTTCTCTCAGAATTATTTTGCTTAACTTTATTTATTTACTGACTTTTTAAATTTGACCAGAGAGGAAGAGAGAGGGAAGAAGGGGGTGGAGGAGGGAGAGAGAGAAGGTGAGAAAGCAAGCCGCCAGGTCCAGGACCCGAACTGCAGTAGGCCATGTGGGTGTCCAGTGCCCTTAACCAAGCCATGTGGGGGTTCAGTGCCCTTAACCCCCACCCCACCTGCTGGTCCCCAGAATGAATTTTTTTTTTTTTTTTGAGAGGCTTTTGCTACAGGGCACGTGTGCTCGCCACAACCCACCCACAGATCCATGAGCATAAAAATAAATATCTGCTGCCAAGTAAGCCACTGCAATTCTGGTGTTTTTGTTACTTAGCAAAAACTGACTATTGCATGGGGGAATATTAATTTATGAATACCGATGAATATTGACATGAGTCAGAAAAAAAGGAAAGCTATGCATATAAATAACATACATATTATTATATACATAATATAATAATCATTACATTATTAAATATAATAATAATTAACACAGCTATTCTTGCAGAATATCCACCACCTTGGTATCAATTGGATCCTCACAACAATACCACAAGGTAAATACTGAGTCAACTTTATTGATGAGAAAACTGGGTGCCCAGGGCAGCCAGTGGTGTGGTGGGTAAGGTGTCTGGCTATCACATGGATGAAGGTGCAGATAAGTCCCAGTCCTAGCAGCTTGGAAACACATAAGACATGCATGCATGCCCAAAATCCTGGAAAGAGGGCGAAATGAAGGCGAGGGGACTGCAGCATGCCTATCCCCATGAGTGGGTGCTTTCTCACAGTCTCTGTCTCTCTCCAGTGAGTGTGCATGCCCTCTGGCAAACTGAAACAAAACAACACAAAAACAGGCTCAAAAATATAAATTCCCATTCCTTGCCTTGTTCCTCTTATAGGTCTTCATGAGAAGATGCAGGGGCAGAGTGGAAGATCGTAAGGCTTCAAGTTCAACCACCTGAGTTCCAGCCCCAGCTCCATCCCTAAGCACAGCCTTGCTCTTGTCAGTGAGTCTCTGGCTCTCAGGTCTCTTGTGGGTGTCATAAGGCCATGAACATGGATCTAGCCTATGTCCCTAGACAGCCATGAGCCTCCAGAGGAATGGAGTGTGGAAGAGCTGTGTGAGGGGTGACACCACAGCGAGCTCACACCCTGCTGCCTCCACTCGGAACCCACTCCCACTAGGGCAGCAGCTGCACATATGTCAGACTTTCTGCACTGCCTCAAGACGTAGTCTTGCTTTGAGACTGACTTTTTCTCTTCCTCAAACAGGGATTGTTTCTTTCCAGTTATGAAAGCAATCCAGATCCATTAGGAAAAATATTAAAGCATGGAACTAAAATAATTTATTATCCTCAAATCTAAAGAAAAATACTATTTGGATTTTAAGGCCATTTCCTTCAGGGGACTGGTTTCTGTAAGGGCAAAACATAATCCATTTCATCTGACATAATTTTCTTAGAGCCAGGGAACTATCAGTAAGTGGGAAAAAAAAATGACACTTCGCATTCATTCATTTAATCATTTATGCAACTGATACTTGTGCTGCACCTACCATGTGTCTGGGACTGTTCTTGTCACCTGAACATGGAGTGGAGGACAAAGATATTTCATAATCTCAAGCAATTATCAATCACTCATTCATTTATAAAAATGATTTAGGTAATTAATTTCACTTGTTATTGTTATTTTAAAATTTGACCGTGGACAGAGAGACAGAGAGAGAAAGGGAAAGCAAGAAATCAAAGCCGCCAGGTCCGGGATTCAAACCGTGGTCGGCCATATGGAAATCCAGCACCTCTAACCACCATGCCACCTGCCGGCCCCTCATTCATTACTTTTCAAATTCAATACACATGGAGTAGTTACTGTATGCTGGGCACGGGATGATGGTGGTGGTGATGATGACGATGGTGAGGACAATTTCCTTGACGTGTACTCTAATAGGATGGCTTATTAAAAATTGGCCCACTGGGCCAGCCATAGTGGCACAGATGGGAGGATGTCACTGTGTGATACTGGAGTCATGGGAAGGCCCAGGGTTTGGATCCCAGGTGGACCTAAACATACAGGGCATGTCTGCAGGTGGGACCATGATCATGGCTGGTTGGGAGGCTGGGGAATCACTGCATGGTGATACCTTTGTAGGCTTTCTCTCCCTGTCTTATCAAATAAACTTTATAAAACAAAAAAAACAGTCACTAGAGCAAATTCACCTCAATTAGAATCCGGATTATTACTCTGCTGGGTTATTTACCCTCTCATACTTCAGTTTTCTCTCATCCAAATCCAAAGGCCTGAGAACTATGGAAATTGATAGAGTAAGCCCCATGCTGAGTCTGAAGGCCCAAGAACCAGGAGCACCAATGTCCAAGGGCAGGGACGATGACATCACAGCTCAGGCTGAGAGCACATTTACCCCTCTCCCCCTGTTTGTTCTCCTCGGGCCCTCGGTGAATGGGATGATGCCCACTCACAGTGGGAAGGGTGTGCTCCTCTTCACTCAGTCTGCAGATCTGCTCATCTTTCCCAGAAATACCCTTACAGACACACGTAGAAGTAACGTTGTAGCTTCTATCTGGGCTTCCCTTAGCCCAGTCAGGTTGACACATAGAATTAACCATCAGAGTGTTCTATAAGTGTTGCTACTGTTACTATCAGTGCTGTAAGAGTTCAGGAATGGATAGATTGTTGGGCAGGAAAAGTTGGTCCCTAGAACAGGGACATCTGGGGCAGACCCCACAGTACCCTTTCATACTTCAGTTTTCTCATGTTTAAAATCGGGATACTTAAAGTACCTACCTCATATAGTAGACCATGAGAATTAATATGGTTTAAACATTAGGCAAAAAAATCATGTTTGGTTCCCAGTGATAGGTTTTTTTGTTTTGTTTTGTTTTTGTTTTTGTTTTTGTTTTTACCATAGGGTGTACGTGTTCACTAGAGAGGGACAGAAAAAGAGAGAGAAAGGGAAAGTGAGAAATCATCCCCCTGGGGGATGGCCATGTCACAATCTCATCTCCATTCTCCTCTCAGGATTTTAGGCATGCACACACACGCACCCAGCATGTTTTTCAAGCTGCTAACTCTGGGACTCGAACCATGAAGTTGGCTATGTGAGATTCAGCTGCCTTAACCACCACACTCCGGGCTGGTCCTAATAGATGAATGCATGACAGCTACACGGTCACATATGGTGGTAGTGAGGTTATTGCCTCATGTAACCCTCCCACCCATCCTACAAGAAGTTGAACCTCCTAGGTAAAGAACCAGAGTGGTGCCCAAGACTCGACAGGTTACCATCTGGACACTTGGAGGTCGGTCCCACAGGAACCTGCTGATAGACGGTGGAGAACAACCTCAGAATCGTCCCATTGAGGGGGAGGAGAGCTGAGGCTTGCATCCCCCGACAGCCAAGCACAGCCAGAGGACAGTCTCAGAGATGCGGGAAGCCTTCTCTGAACAGGCACTGCCTGCAAAGCCTTCCACGGAACACCCAATGATATGGGCAGAGAGGCCACAGTGTCTGTAAACAGGCATTCAGTACAATGTGTTGAAGGAGTGAGTGGACAGTAAAGGATATCAACCCTGTGCTCTTTTCTACAACCTCTCATTTCCGGCTGCCACCAGCAATAC